TGGTAGACCAAGCCAATGGACCTTCAGCAGACAATTCTTCACTTCCATACCAAGTCGGACACACCGAGCTAGTACATGTATGCTAGGTTGTTCGCCCATTCGGCCCCATGGACCGATCAACCTAACCCCTTTGGGTTGATCACATACCCTGCCACGAACAAAGGCACCGAGCTTGTTCGCAACCACAAGTCACCTCAGTCCGACCCATCAGTCATACCAAAGAACCGACCGACTGCGAGCAGGGTCATATGGTTAATCGATCAACCGGATATGCTTCAGACGACACCTACTCTCTAAGTTAAGCACTCCTTAACTTAGAGAGTGGGGGGCAAACTATTAAGGCCAAAAAATGTCCTCAGCCCAAATAAGATAATGCGTCTGACAATGAGGAAAAGGCCAGGCCCAATCCCAATGTGGCCCAAGATAGAACTCCCCGGATAAATCCCATTCGATATGAAGTATAGCTGGTCCATACCATATGGACACAGGCCTTCTAATCCCAATACACCCCTTGGACCTATGATCAAAGCCGGAGCCCACAATCACCTACCGATCACATTCCTACTCGAACACTAATAAGGTAGTCTACTACCACCCAACTCCTCCAAGGTCCGTGTCAGAGTCATACTTGGACTCCCTTTCACGCCAGGATAAGGGGGCCAAAGGATATATCCCTGGAGGAAACGGATTACTATGAGAACTCCCAATCCCACCAGGATTGGGAGATTGGACAGTCACTATTTAAACAGAGGTCGGCCCTCTCACAAGGCAGATTAAATTACACCTTCAGACCCCGGAGTTCCCGCTTGAGAACTTCACATTACAGCTATAGTCACAGTCCCCGACTAGACTTCTAGTAACTCTACTCCCTAGCCCTCACTAAATTAGCCCCTTTCAGCCTTGCTAACTTAAGCATCGGAGTGCCTACAGCAAACACCACCCCAGTGTTTTCCGTCGCTTCACGTTTGTTTCTCTACATGTGCAGGTACAGCAGATCGCTAGTGGCCTCAACCTCACGGGATCAGTCTCTCCTTTCGTACAGGTAGATTTTTACGTCTACATATATCTAGGTGAATCTGGAGTAATTATCTAAAACGCTAATGTTGTGTTTGGCTCCACTGGTAGAAGGTAGGTGTTTGACCTCAACATGTATTAGCTCAAGTGGTTCCTTGGTTATGGTTTCAATGCTAGGGTGGTGTTGCTCATGCAGTTTACCAAGATTACACAAATTACAAAAATTCGGATTTGACTCCATGCTGCTAGGTGTATGCATTTTTAATGATGAGGTGGATTTTTAAATTGATTTGAGAATGTTAAGACCTGCATGTCCTAGCCTTTTATGCAAGAGATTAAGATAATTTCCAGAATCAGCAACTAAGCAATGTTAGAAACAAAATGAAATTCATTTGTATTACTAGATTTTCTAGTATGATCACAACACGATGAAGATATATTTTTGTCTATATTTACATTTTTTTTGGTGAAGACACCTATTATTTTTCAACTTCTTTGAAAGCATAGAGAGAAATGCATTGAACCTTTTTGTTTGTGATTTTTTAACAAAACTTTCAGTGTAAGGTGCATCTTGTACAACCCATCCTCGGCAAACCCTTAGAGCAATTTTCTCCATATCAAGTTCTTAATGAAACAGCATTTATCATGAAACACAACGCACAAATTATTGTCACCAATGAGTTTGGATATACTTAATAGGTTTTTTGTTAATTGTAGCATAACGAGAACATTGTGAAGTTGAATTGAATCAGAGTTTAAGGTGGGAAGTGATACCTTACCAAAGTGAGAAATATTGAGAGACTGATCATTTCCAACAGTAACTTTCTCTGGCACATGATATTCACTCTTCATACTCAAGTTATTCATGTCATTGACGATATGACTTGATGCTCCACTGTCTATATACCATCCTTTTTCATTGTTGTTATCAGAGGTTGTAGTTGAGCAAGCTTGATTTGAGTTACTCAGAGTTGTGTTGTTGCGGCTTGGAGGCACAAAATTTCTATCAAGTCGATGATATCATATTTCAACAGAATGGCCATATTTTTGGCATAGCTAGCAAGTAGGTTTGTTACCACCTCCACTTTTGTTACTAGCATTTCTTCCTCTTCTCCTTCCTCTGCCTTTGGGGTTTTGATTTTTGCCAATCTTTCTATTGCGGTTGTTTTTGGTGTAGGCAAACCATGTTGACTGATTTGGTTGCATTTTGAAGGCGGTGTTTCTGTGTTTGCATGCATTCGCTCAATTCTAACTTCATGGTTCAGGAGAAGGGTGTAATTTTCTTGAAGAGATGCTGTTTTTCCTAAAGAGTAGCAATTGCAACAACAGATTCATATTCTATTCCTAGTCCTCCTATAATCCAGGATACAAAATCGTCTTCAGAGATGAAGTGTCCAGCTAAGTTAAGCTCATCAGTATAATCGTTTATCAGTAATGCTCAATTGCCCTTTCCTCTTTTCCTTATGTTCTGAAGTCTGAGATGCATAAATGTAACAGCTCGATACTTTAGATGCAGGATTCTGGATTGGGACTAAGATGCATAATGTAATAGCCCGACCGACTATCAAGATATTGTGATTTTTTCTCTTACGAGCGTGTTCATCTTGATTCAAACCTATAACTTCATCATTGGAAACGAATCTGGAGTACTAACTGAGCTAGTAGCCCGATTAGTACTCCTGATTCGTTTCCAAGGATGAAATCCCAGGTTCAAATCAAGAAGGATGTGCTCAAAAGAGAAAAATCAAGACACTGTGAGTGCATGAGAGATAAAATGAGTAGAAATAAAGCACGTCAAAGCTTGAGAATTTTATTCATCAAAAGATCCAATATATACACGTTTGATAAGTGTTCTAAGGCATTCCAGATTGACATTTTAATTTGAACCCATTCTATTCTGATAACAAGTAAAAAAGCTAAGCTTTGATTATCAGAAGTATTCATGTGAACGAAATAGAGAAGCAACAGGAACAAAATAATAATAGTTAAACAAAACAAACAGTAAACAAAGAAAGTAATACGCGCGATTTACCCTGGTTCACTCAATATAGGCTACGTCCAGCTGAGTCAATATTATTGCAATATGCCTCACCTCTCTCGTTTACAATGAATGAATTGTTCTCACACTCATAACAAGAGAAAATAATGTTTATATACTAGGTTTAAGGGATTAAACCTAGTTTTACAAGAATTCCTATTCCTAAGCCCAACCCAAAAAGGAATTAATAACTTAAAAGGAATCCTACAGCGGTTATACATGGAAAAGCCCAAAACCGCCTACGGGCTCGGGGGCGCTGCCCCCGCGACCCCCGCCCGCTCACCGGAGAGCGGGGCACCCGTCCGCTGACCGGGCAACGGGACCCCCAAGTGCGTCTCCGTTACCCATTAATGCTGAAATAGTCGACAACTCCAACATCATCTAGAGTTTACTAGATAAATCGAGCAGAATTTATTCATCAAAGGATCCAATGTATACATGTTGACAAGAGGAATAAGTACAGGCGAACCCAGGTTAAAGCCCAATGGAGGATCCCTATATAGAAAACCATTTGAAGAAATTATTTAGTATATCTGATTTGACCCCGTTAACCATCATAATATGAAAATGTTTTTCTATATATTAGTCTTATTCCAGGCAAAATTTACCAATAAGATATAAGCTAAAAAAAAAAAAAAAAAAAGTAAATACTACTTTCCTTTTGTTTTCATGTTTTGTTCATTTATACTTTAAGATTGAAAAAACGAATTAAATAAAAGATCAAATCGTAATATACAATATCGGTAAGTTAAAATAATAGTATTGATTCAAAAAATTATTGAATCATTATAAAGAACCTAAAACTTATGTCGCAATAAAATTATAAAATATATTTTTTAAATAATAAAAATGCATTAAGAATATTTGTTAATTCTATATTGGAGAAAAAAATAAATAGATAATATTTATGTTTTGATATTTTATTATTGTGGATCGTTGCCTCTACTCAGATCATTGTCTAGGTCCGCCCCAGGCTATAAGGTGAGCTTCCTTGATTGTTGCTATCTTGTGTCATGGGTAGAAAGTTTCACATCCAAAAGACTCATAAGCGTAGAGTTTCACACTCAAAAGGCTCACGGGCTAGGAGTTTCTCACTCAAAAGGATAACCTGTTAGATGGAGCAACTTCCTCCTTTATAAGTCTAAGACCTTCTTGATACGCTTCCGATATAAGACTCGTTATATTCTTCCCCACCTAATCCTATTACATGGAGGCCCTCACCTACCCGTCCACCTCACTCTTGTGTGGACTCACAATCACACTTGAATGTCCCCGCTTGGGTGCTTTGCGAACATCGAAAGACAGACCGAGTCTGCTCTGCTACCACTTGTCATCGGTTAAGAGTTTCACACCTAAAAGACAAACTTGTTAGGTGCAGAAACTTCTCCTTTTATAAAGCCAAGACCTCCCCAATATGCTTCTATGTGAGATTCGTTACACTTGTCATCAGCTGACCTGAGAGACAATTTGTTGGTTGATCAGTGCTGAATGGGGTGCTAGTTGTGCTCTCCCTTCTCTCCCTTCTCCTTGTACGATTGAATTGTTGCCGCCACTTTATCGATTTCTCTCACAAAACAGAAGTGTTAAGGAAGACAAAATCTACAGAGTAGTAATGTACAAATTTAACTTCAATGATGTGACCTTATTTTAGATTCTCTAAAATATATAATCACCTAGTGTTTATGTATTTGTAAATAATGATACAAAATTATTGGAATTTTAATACCTATGATGCAATTTTCTATATATATTAATCACAGTCAACGATAATAAGTACTTAAAGAAAATTTGTTTACAATTTTCAATATTAAACGGTTATTACTGTCCAAAGATAAGAGTTAAAAACATGTGAATGGTCGCAAATAGCGGTTAAAAAGATGTGAATGGTCGCAAATAACTCGAACTTTCCCTTCTTATACTGAAGCTAGAATTAATTAAACTTGAGAAAATGAAGTTTCCAAGAATCAATTGCAATATTTCACTTGTTTCAATACTCATTTTGTTGTCAGCTTCTTGGACAATTTCATATCCAATTCAAGAGAGTTTTCTGCTATGCCTAAATAATAATTCTCAGCCTTCCATTCCTTTCTCAGCTTTTTGCAGCAAAAACGATTCTTCATTTTCTTCACTCCTGCAATCTTCTGCTCAAAATCTCAGGTATTTGGAGCCTTCAAAGCCAAAACCTGAGTTCATCTTCACACCTTTGCATGAATCCCACGTCCAAGGCGCTGTTATTTGCTCCAGGGAGCTTGGAATTCACATGATAGTCCGCAGTGGAGGCCATGACTATGAGGGCCTCTCTTATGTCTCAGAAATCGAAACGCCTTTTATCGTTGTAGACCTGGCGAAGCTTCGATGCATTAGCGTTGATATTCCTGATAACAGCGCCTGGATCCAGGCCGGTGCCACAATTGGTGAAGTCTACTACAGAATTTCAGAGAAAAGCAACACTCATGGTTTTCCTGCTGGTCTTTATACAAGTTTAGGCGTTGGCGGGCACATCACCGGAGGTGCTTATGGCGGCCTGATGAGAAAATATGGCCTTGGAGCTGACAATGTTATTGACGCTCAAATTGTCGATGTTAATGGCAGAATTCTCGACCGAGCAGCCATGGGAGAAGACCTGTTTTGGGCTATAAGAGGAGGTGGAGGAGCAAGTTTTGGAGTTATTCTTTCCTGGAAGATAAAACTTGTTCCTGTGCCACCAATTGTGACAGTTTTTACGGTTAACAAAACCCTGGAACAAGGCGCAACAAAGACTCTCTACAGATGGCAACAGGTTGCGGATAAACTTGATGAAAACCTCTTCATTAGAGTGATCATTCATGTGGCTCCAGTCACGGATAGCCTGAGAGCTGTCATAACTAAATACAACGCCTTGTTTCTCGGCGGAGCTGACAGACTTCTCCAGATTATGCAACAGAGTTTCCCCGAATTGGGTTTAACTCAACAGGATTGTATCGAAACGAGCTGGATTAAATCGATGCTTTACATGGGTGAACATCCAAGTGACGCCACACCAGAAGTTTTACTTCAGGGAAAGTCTACATTCAAGAACCATTTTAAAGCCAAATCAGACTTTGTCAAAGAACCAATTCCTGAAACTGCGCTTGAAGGGCTATGGACAAGGCTACTTCAAGAAGAAATTCCATTGATGATATGGAACCCTTATGGAGGCATGATGAGCAAAATTTCGGAATCCGAAATCCCATTTCCTCACAGACAGGGAACCCTTTTCAAAATCCAGTATGTTAGTATGTGGCAAGATGGAGGTAAAAATGCAGAAAGGCACATAGATTGGATTAGGGAGCTTTACCATTACATGACTCCTTATGTGTCAAACCCCAGGACGGCTTATGTTAATTACAGGGATCTTGATTTGGGGGTGAACAAGAAAAGTAACCCGAGTTTTGCAAAGGCCAATGCTTGGGGTGCCATGTATTTCAAAGATAATTTTAAGAGATTGGTGACAGTGAAAACTAAAGTTGATCCTGATAATTTCTTTAGGCATGCGCAGAGTATTCCTCCAGTACGCAAGACAAGGGGGAACTTCTGGAAAGTCTGGAATCATAATTCTGAGTAGTTTATTTTGTATTGAATAATTGTTTGGTTGATTGATTGATTAAACAGAATAATGATAAAATAAATGCCTCATGGTTTAAAGTTTAAACCAATGGATAGTTCGTTCAGGGGTTTGTAAGCATAATCTAATCTCATGCTTTTACTCTTTAACAAACCTGAACTTCAAGGCATCAAGGAATACAGTATGTTCACATGCAACCGTCCTTCCATAATACCAGTTCTCTGTTCGATATGCTTCTCCTAAGCCCTTTCGGCAATCTGGAATGAAAGGAAAAGGGCCTAACGTCCTGGGATTACAATTATGTGACATCTTCAATACCATACTAACCAATATCTTTTTTTATATTTCTTTTTATGCTAAGAAATAAACCAACATTCATTATGAATTCATCCGAGTTTGAAACTTAATAAACTCATATTATCCATAATACATAAGAGTAGCAAAATACATTAGATCAGCATCAATGGGAAAACCAAAGGTCACTGGGCTCTGCTTACAGGTTCAAGAGCTTCAACTGTGACAACACTGTTTCCTCTGATAACCTGCAGCAGACATGTAATACTAATAAGAAAAGACTGTTACAGTGTCATTGCTAGATTGGAAGTTGATTATCCGCAAACAACAGGAAAAGACAAAGAGACTCACCACCATCCCTATATCAGTTTTCTCATTGCCATTCACATCCACTGTGTTGTCAACCACAAGATTCATAAATTGATCAAACCCACGAAGCGTTCCAACAACCATCCTGTTAGCATTCAGCTTGACTGTAGTACAAATACAGGTTATTTGTTAATTTTTTAAAAATAAATTAATAATCTTCCAATAAATGTCCATGATATCTACAAAAATCACTGACAAACAACAGAATGAATGTTGATCAATGTTATAAGTCTGGCAACACCCTAGAATTATTCTCTTGTTTATTTCTAAAGGTTGTTTATGGGAGAGTATCACAAAAAGGTTTACCCTGATCAGTTTAGACAGGCAAGAGACAAACATGAGATCGCAGCATTCAAAACTTACCAATAAAAGAATCTAAAAAGCATTTTTTTAATAGCTAGGAAACAAAGAAACTATATTGAAACAAAATAGAATACATGAAAAAAAAAAAACTAAAAAAGCATTTAAATACTGAGAAAGAATCAGATAAAAATCCACCAAAGATATGCATCAAAGTTAACATCAATAGATATGTACAGCCAAATATACAACCATAGATCACTTAACAAGTATTCATGCATAATGGTAGTGAACATGTCTATTTTTCAGTCGAAATAAATTGCTATGCTATAAGGACATAAATGGGACATTAATAATAAATTTAATCCTCATATAGACTTTAATAGCTTTGATATTGGATCTCACTATTGAGTAGAAGAAGTCAATACATCATTTATGAAAACTGAATCAGCAAAAATGAGCAAACAAGGAAATTCAGTAGTACTGCTGGAACAAATGTAAGATAACGTCACAGCCATAGAAAATTTTCTTGGGTTTCTACCTCACTCATTTCCCAGAATTTTCAAACGACTAAGTTTAGTAGAGAGTTATTGTTAGGTACACAAAACAGTGTCCAAACTCAATGACTTAAAAGTCAACTTGGTTCCATAAATTGCAACAGATTACAAAGTAATTAACAGTACATAGCTGCAACTTATAGAAAATGTGCATATGGAAGCTAAGGAACAAGCCCCATAATAATACCAAAATGAAAGGCAAATAACTAACCTACCCACCAAATTCACATTTAGTTAACCATGCGATTCCTCCAACTACATAACATTTGGCACAAGCCAAATTTGTATTTCTGGTAATTTTTCATCTCAGACAAGAAAAAACTCAACGATAACACAATAATGTCAATAAGAAGTTTATGCTTTATCTATTTAAATATAAAAACAGACTTCTGCTCCAGATAGGAAAAAATATAATTGGCAAAGTGAAATAGAAAATTTATGCAGAGTATATGAAATTAGAAAATTAGAACTGAAAGTTTTGTGTAATGTAAATGGAATATCCAGGAAATCTAGGAAGTAGATCAGTTCTAGGGAACCCATTAGCAGGATCTCAACAAAAAGATAAATAAATTGACTAGATATCCAAAATCTCAACAGAATTGTAAAATGTAACAGCCATGAATAAACTGAACCAAACATTTGAGAAATATTAATATAGCCATGACATAATCCCAACAAGAAAATAAAATAAATAACTTAACAGAAAACCAAATACTACCTGATTTAAACTACAACCATCATAACAAACTAAACAAAAACTTGAACCTGTGTATAACGATTGTTATAATAACCTAATTTTAGCAAAAATATAACTGTTATTGCCAAAAAAAACAATAATAATGAAATTAAATTAAAAAAAAAAAAAAAAAGGTGAAATAGCATGGAAGATAACTTACTCTGAAGCTTCTTGTCCATGTACCTGAATCAATGCAGAATTCAAGATCACAATCAGAATGGTGAATTAAACAAGAAATATAAATTAAAAAATAACAAATAAAATCGAGAGTGAGCGCGATTACTTCTTCAAATCCGGAGGCTGGCCTGATCTGCTCATAGCGCAATTGACTGAGAGAGAAAACAAGCAAGCGAGTGTCAGAGAGCATAATTATTAAAATTAGGAAATAAAAAAAAAAGGATAATATTGAATACACACATAATTGAAAATTTAAATCAGGAATTAATCAAAATCTCGCAATGCAGGTTTAGGAGAATAATTATGTCTGTAAAATATATTTATCAAAAAAAAATCAATAAAAACAAAAACTTAAACAGTAAAATATATTCATCAGCTATGAGAGTAAGCAACAGCTCTACTCCCGAGCTCACTAACTTCATCCATATAGGAAAATAACATGTTCTAAAACGACTAAACTCAAATATTTAAAGACTCGCATGAAAATTAAACGGAGAAATTGAGTTTAAAAACTTCAATTTCTCAGAAAGAAAACACGCACTAATTACACAATGAGGGACGGAGAGAGAACCTGAGGTGCGGCTACTAACTGCTGTCGCTCAAAGTGCGGCTAGGTTGGTAGTGGGCAGTCGGCGGCGGTGGCAGCTCTTGGTGTTGTGATGAGTGTAGGGTTTGTTAACTGTAATGTTTTTTATTTTCGTGGGAAAGGAGAGATTAAGTGCGGGCAACTGTATTATAATCCTTTTGAAGCATTGAACTGTCAATAACCACGTCGACACCAAGCAATAGTAAACCTATAGGTATACATGGCCCGGGTCCGGCCCATTTAGTAAATAATCTAAACCAAAATGAACAAATTAGTTGGTTTTATGAACAAAGTTGAATACTTTATTAATCATTGCACTAAATTATAATCTTCACTGATTTCTTTTAATCATTATAATTGATTTTAAAACAGTACATAGGTCTGGCTTTGTGAAGCGAGCCTGCAATTGGATTGATTTAATTTGGATATGAAATTTTTGGAACGAGATTATGGATTTGAATATCTTGACTCAAAGTAAATATGATTAGTTTTAAAATGGATAATGGGATGGATTTGAGAATTCTTATAAAAAACTAAGAGAAAAAACAATACTTAATATCTCATACGTAACACCTACATATTATTTTTTTATAAGAATTGGGATATAGTCTAATTAATAAACGTGTATATATATAACTATTTTTCAAGAGGATATTATTCTCCAACATCATTAAACCGCCGTTTGATGAATATGATAATCAAATGACTTTCCTTGGTCAACTAGAACCAAAGAATATAAACGAAAATGAATCTTATTTTACTGTATCTTCGATCAAATAATTATTTTAAATACTTTATTGTATTAATATATTTTTGTTATAGAATGAATATTGAACATCTCTTTACTATATAATCAAGTCTGGAGTCTTAATTAAAACCAATTTTGACCAAGTTCCAACAAGATAAAAAATCTAGTGCTGCATTTGTCAAGTGACAAATGCCCTTCTCAAGTTGTTCATGAAATCATGAACAAAGACGGTTACCATTGAACTTGATTTTAAATATATTGCCGACTGAGCCATAATAAAAGGACAAACTGCAGTTAATTTCACATTGTCTCATCTTCTGTATTGAAATTATCAGTTTCTTTTGTTTGAATACAGCTTGTTTAAGCAGCTGCCTATCAGAAAGATCTTTAATTGAAATATTCCATCCCATCAGGACAAAATAACCACTCCAATATAAACACATTCAAACTCAAATTGTATAAACAGCTAAAAATGAAACAAATTATTGTTCTAATTTCTCTTTTGATTTCAGTTTCATGGGCAACTTCTAGTCCAATCCAAGAAGATTTCCTCCAATGCATGTTAACCCAATTCAGAGCCTACACCAGAAGCTTTGAAATAATTTTCCCACCAAGTTCCCCTTTATATCCATATCTCTTGCAGTCCACTATACAGAATCCCAGATGGTTAAATGCCACAACCCTTAAACCTCTTCTTATAGTTACACCATTTCATGAGTCTGAGGTTCAGGCAGCCATTCTTTGTAGCCGAAAACAGGACCTGCAAATCAGAGTAAGAAGTGGGGGTCATGACTATGAAGGCCTTTCTTACCTTTGCCAAGCCCCATTTATCATCATCGATCTCATCAATATGAGATCGATTGAGGTTAATATTGAGGAAGAAACAGCATGGATACAGTCGGGAGCAACGCTTGGTGAGCTTTATTATGCGATCGCGAAGAAAAGTTTAGTCCATGGATTCCCTGCAGGGTTGTGTCCTACTGTTGGAATTGGTGGGCACTTAAGTGGAGGAGGGTTTGGAACATTGGTGAGAAAGTATGGACTTGCAGCTGATAATATTCTTGATGCTTATCTTGTAGATGTTGATGGGAGAGTTGTTGACAGAAAAGCAATGGGTGAGGAGTTGTTTTGGGCGATTAGAGGAGGTGGTGGAGGGAACTTTGGTGTCGTACTTTCCTGGAAAATAAAGCTTGTTCGAGTTCCGGAGAATGTGACTGTTTTTACAGTTCCGAGAAGAGTAGAACAAGGCGCCAGTGAGCTTGTTCATAGATGGCAATACATTGCATCTGAATTGCATGAAGATCTCTTCATTAGAATCATCATTCTGGGTGTGGGAGAAAAGAGTAGTGGAGGTAAGAGAATTGACCAAGCTTCCTTCAACTCACTGTTTCTCGGTGAAATCGACAGACTAATCCCATTAATGAACAGAAGTTTTCCGGAGTTGGGATTGAAGGCTGAAGATTGCACTGAAATGAGCTGGGTTGAATCGACTATATATTTTGCAGGATTCCCAAAAGGGTCACCTTTAGAAGTATTGCTGGACAAGAAACAATTGTACAAAAGCAATTTCAAGGCGAAATCCGACTTTGTGACAAAACCAATACCAAAGAATGCGATTGAAGGAATATGGAAGATGTTCCAGGAAGAAGAAGAAGTAGCGATAATGATAATGGATCCCTTTGGTGGAAAGATGAATGAAATATCAGAATCTGAAGTTCCATTTCCCCACAGAAAAGGCAATCTGTACAATATACAGTACATGGTGAAGTGGGATAAGGATGGAATGGAGACATCCAACAGGTCTGTGAATAGGATCACGTCATTATACAGATACATGACACCATTTGTTTCAAAGTCTCCGAGGGCTGCCTATGTTAACTACAGGGATCTTGATTTGGGAACCAACAAAAAAGATAAAACGACGACTTACATGGAAGCTGCAGCTTGGGGTGTCAAGTATTTCAAAGGTAACTTCAAGAGACTGGCACAGGTGAAGAGCAAAGTTGATCCTGAGAATTTCTTCAGAAATGAGCAGAGTATTCCACTGCTTCCTACACCATGAAATACAACTAAGAAATTATGCAATTGGTAATATTTTCAACCACGGCCAATGTGAGAAGCTAACGTTTCACTTCATAATCTTGATATTTCAGAAGGTTTTAGTTAGTGTTAGGCAGTAATATAAACTGTCTATCAACAGTTCCATCTCTCACTTTCTTCTCTTCAATTCATCACCATTAGCCTTGAGCAGTTTTTCACAAATTTAAAATCATAAATTTTATGATTGCATAGAAAAACAGTAAATTCAAGCTGAAACTTAGTTACATAAGAATAAAATTTCACAAAAGGTAGAAAGCTACCTTGACCATTGCAAAGCATCAGAAATACAAAATTTTAGTACATGGAAGGCAAAAAAATTTACAGATTTACTCATGGAATGAAACATAAAAGGCCTCATCAACTTTCTTTCAAAATTTCTCGGTGATTCAAAATCATAATTTACAGGAAGATACTCTGTTCTCAAATGGAGAAATCATCAAAATTTTCTGCATTGATCCTAGTTAATAATAAATATAACTTCAATAAAGGCATCCATCCCACGTCAAAATGCTGAGTACCCGGGCAGTAGATATATACGGTTCTTGAACTATATAATCAGAGTTTTGTAACAAAATCAGGGCACTGCAAAAGGCTGAATGACAAGGCCTGATTCTCCTTGCTCAGAGATGAAAACCATTTTCTTATATGATCAGCTGGAACTGACTGACTTGCAATGGTTGGACACTTCGTGTTAATCTGAATGATTTGTTTAAAATCCAGAGAAAGAAGCCCAAGCAGAGCAGAAACAACGGCAATTTGAATTGGAAGACCAGCTCTAGTGGTAGTATCCCGCTGCAGAAAAGCAGACAATTTGCTTCTCAAGCTCTCAACTTCTTTATCTTCATACCCACAAGCATTAACTCCAAGTCTGCAAGTCATAACATAATTTGATTGAAGTAAGTCTAATCACTAACAATATAATTGAATTATCTTTTGTATATTGATGTGTATGCATATACCCAACCACAAAAAAGAAAACTGAATTCCTTTTCTTCTCTAAGCTAGGATTGGCGTGACACAAATTTATTAAAAAAAAAAAAATTGACACCAATATATGAGTAGAAATTGCTTGAGTTCACCCACAAAAATTTATTTCATAAAATTTAGGCATGGCAATGTTCCCCGAAATTCCGGGGACCCGTCCCACCCCGTCCTTTATGGGGCAAGGAAGCCCCGGTTTTTTCAGGGATAGGGGCCACGGGGGGGAGGGACTGTTAATCCCCGTCCCCAAGGATGGGGTAGGGAATGCCTTTCCCCCGCCCCACCCTATATATAATATATAAAATTAAAAAAATATATATATATATATATTTACTTTTCACTAATATCCCTATATTTCACCTAATTACACAATTATCCTACCTATATAAACCCATATTTTCCCAATTTCCCTCACCCTAAACAATTGAAAAAGAACAAACCCTAACCCATATTTACGTAAAATTAACTATGTTTAAATGATTTATTTAAGTGTTTGTCATGTGAACGAAAATTAACTATTGTATTTGGTACTATTCAAATTAATTTATGTTTAAGTAAAATAAACAAGGTAAGGACAAGTCTCCAACATTCCCCTATCGGGCGTAGAAGGGGAATTCCTGTCATCTTCGTAACGGGGATGGAGCGGGGGTGGTGAGTGACTTTGAGGGTGGGGATGGGTACGGTGAATAAGATCCCCGCCCCATTGCCATGCCTAATAAAATTCAGCACATACCATGAAAAAGAAATTGATAAACTAAGAAATGAGAAAAATCTAAAATTAATTCTTAGGCCTTAATAAATTATTCTCTGCCAAATTAAGCTGGCTTAAACAGAGACAGGATACCTCTTCCAAACCTCAAGGTGCATTTAACCAAATAATTAGAGGCAAAGACATCCGGAATTATAAGGACAATGGTTTTTCAAAAACAGAATCAGTAATTGGCAAAGGATTCAAATACGGTTTAAAAAATATTAAATATTATGCCAGAGCAACAGTTTGAACAAACCTTCCAAGCTGCCCCAGGAGAATGACAATAGCCACAGTGAAGCTCTCCTGCATAGATGATTCCAGTATTCTCAACAGTTCAGGGATAATTGTAGTACATGTCCAATCCCATCTCTGCATTTAAAGAGGAAAACAAGTAAAATGTTAGATACAATTCTCCCAGCACCATGTGGAGCAAACAATTTTCCACGAACCACAAATTTTCCCTCTCCGTTCATTTTTTTACCCCTTTGTATTCACTAAAGTAAGACCATTCCTGTTTTCCTTAATCACAAAATAGCATAAAACAATTCTATTTTTTTGGTTTGGGTAGTACATACACATTTTCAGTCACTTTTTAAGAGATTTGTTAAAACATCACAGCTTCAAAAGACAACTCTAGCTATAGTGATTATGCTCCTTAATCACAATAAAATGGCTTCAAAAAATATAATGGCTCAAGGGACAAGAAGCTTCAAAGCTAAGGTATAAAAATGTAATTAGTTACAAAAGCCTTCTTCCAAGGCTGTCAAGTTGAGAACATCTCAAGGTGGCAAACCTTGTAAGTGATCAATCCCACATGACAGGAACAAGAAAGTAGGACATAACAGAAGCATTAACAGTAAAACAAAGATAGGAAGCCATACCATGTTGCATGCAAGCAGTTCCACCAATGATAGAACATCAGTCACGTGGCACAAAGTCATATTGACAACAAATTCTGATTGGAAAGCAGGCATCTCATACTTTTTTAAGAAACATGATTCATCACCCTTCATATCATGAACATTACAAAGCTCTTGGCAACTTTGTTCAGTTTGGTCCTCATGGGAAAGGACACTCATGGTCCTGGACTGAGAACAACTCTTAAGCTTTTCCAGGAGCAATTTAATGGCAATATCTACAGAAATTGCATCCTTTGAAAATGGGCAATCAAGACACGGATGGAACTCAGTTCGAAAGTCACTGGCAGATGGAAAACAAGAAGTTGCACCAGATGGTAAGCTTCCTCTCTCAAGATATGTGACTATTGATTTCATCACAGTCATTATTAAACTATCTTTTTTCAAGGCGAATAACTTCTCCCCACCCAAGTAAGCAAAAATGTGAAGAATTGCCAGCAACAGGGAAGGATCACTCCGCCGCATCCGAAAAACATTGTATACAGCCTCTGTAATATATCCAATGTGATTGGTTGCTACAGATATTGATGCCAATACAATGCTCCCCGCCACCAACTGGTCAGCTGTAGCAGCTTCAAATGAGAACATTGTATTTACACCATCTAAATGGACATTGACTTTTGAATTAATTTCGCTCAATGTTGCAGAAGATCCATCAGTGGATGTCATGACTCTTCCGTCCACAAGGAAATCCTCAATGAGACTGAGCAACTCATCCAAACATAAATCTTTAAACACTCTTCTTGCCTCAGCATCAGACATTACTACAAATAAACATTAAATTCAACTCAATGTATCAGATACATATAACAAGCAGCTTATATAGTTTTGATAACTAGTTATCACATATCATACTCTAGTAAAATATTACATGATCACACAAGAAATTCCATACCTGCATGAAGATTTCTGGCGAAAGACTCTGAGCAGACAGTGAAATCCCTACTCAAAAAGTTCCCAGGCTGTCCTGGAGCAGCTGTTGGGAAGTTGAGAAGTAGCAATGAAAAGAATACACAGGCCTTTTCCCTAAACAAGTCAACAGAAGAAGTAAATTTAAGTGGTGCTGATTTGCTATCTGAATGAGCATGAAATTTCTATATATTAACTACTATGGCAATATCCAACAAAAGCAGACAGTAAAATCAAATAACATCAGCTAATTACAAACATTTAAAGAATCCAAAGATGGAATTTTAATGACTTACTTGGAAAGCAAATTTTCTTCTCTTTTGAGAGCAAGCAAAATCTTTTGTAATATCCACTCTGTTTGACTAACCAATGAGCACCGATCCATACAAGTTTTTGTGGCACAAAATATTCTGGATATACTGCTATTGTCCTTAAAATCACATACTACAGTGAAGGGCTTAGGAATATTATTACATGCAGGTCCAACTTCACTTTCAAAAGGCAGAACTTCATCCCTAGAACTACATGGATCCGATATTACCCCAACCACTCCAAAGTCCTCAAACTGATGATCACAAGCTTTTCCTGGTTGCTTACCACTATGTAAACCATTCTCATCATTCACTTGAGGATCATAGGAATCGACAGGACCTTTATTCTCATACAATAATGTTGTAGAAACACATTTTTTCAACTCACTGGAATTAATCTCCACATCTATGACATCAGAACTGCAAGAAGGCACCATATTTTCTTTTTCATCAGACAAGCCATTATGCAAACTTCTGTCTGCCAAAGGTTCAGATTTACCCATATCAAATGTTTCAGCACCTTGAAATTCAATCTCAGGAAGAGTAGGCGACAAAGGCATTTCCATTGCTGTTCTGTAACATTCCTCATCAACAGGATTCTCCAAGTCCAGCAATTTCATAAAATCTCCATCTGCCATGTCCTCAAATTTTTCATTAGTTTCAAAGTCACTAATAATTGAATCACTAATGCCCTCTGCACATGGCCGTGCACATCCTATTAGACCAATGGTAGATTGGGAAACTTCTCCGGACACCCTTCCATCTTCATGGATATTACCATCAACTTTTTGTGTCTTCATCTGTTCATCAGTGCTCAAAAAACATTGAATACCTACAGTCTCTTCATCTGATGTCTTTCTCTTCTTGTGGCACTGCTCATGCTTGACAAATGAATTCTCTTGAAGGTTAGGTACTATATTATTTACCTCTTCCAAGGATTCATCAAGTTGTTTGTTCAACATATTATGAAAATCAGACAGCTTCTCTTCCATCTGTAGATGCAACTTCTTACCCTCTGTGTGCAACAATTCAATTGATTCAATTGCATCAAGTGCCCTCTTTCTCTTCATATTAGATCCATTACCACTTCCAATGCCAGCAATTTTAAGAGGACTTCTAACACTATCTTCAGCAACCACAGCAAGATTTTTATTGCATTTCATTTTGTTAACTTCACCAGACATGCTGGAATTTGTTGGTTGAGCATTCAAGCTCTCTTCCATAAATTTTGAAGACGTGGTAACAGAAAAAGCACCCCTTCCCTGTGAGCCCACGAATAGTCCATCAGAAAAAGATGCCGAACTGGAATTTATTGCACAACTCTGTAACATTTTTCGGCTAGAGCCTCCAAGCAGAGACTCCAATTTAGAATCTTTAGAATCAATACCTGAAATGGATTCACAACAGTTCCCTCCAGATAAAGACTGCGATGGCACAAGACATTGAAGTGTTTGCCTAAAATGACCAGAGGCAGCACTTGTCCTGCGGCAAGGCTTTTGAAGTTCATTTTCACTTTGAAGGTACATCTGAAATGGCTCTCCACCAATGACTTCTTCCTCCAATGTTTGCATATTTGGTTGGTCCATAACCTGCACAGTGTGTCAAAGCATCCAGTAAAAAACCAGAAGCAGAAGCTAGAAAAGATCAAGGACAAGGAAAGCAAGCAATATGAGGAGCTATAGATTCACAATCAAAATATAAACCGACATTAATTTTTTTTTTTTTTTAAAAAAGGCTCCCACGTCTCATCAAACAAATGAATGACCTAACTATTCCAAAAGCCAATTGATCTAATATTTCCATCTAAAGATATATAAAGTAAATGTATATAAGAAACTGACACAAACACTCAGTTTATTTACAAAAACTATATGACAGTATATGATGCCTACATGACCCAGATAGATCAAGAGAGAGGAGGAGGAAATTCTCTTTTTTTGTAAATTACGTAGCCCACCAGAGTTCTGCAAGTAAGTCTAAAACTGTCCACACAACAAAGTATCAAGTGCAAACTAATGCTCTACCCACCATGTCATTACACTAAAGCGTCTTCATGTAACCTCGTTTCTGAGAAAAATCAATCAGTAGCAAAGTTCAGTAACAAATGTCAAAACCTGTGTGCTATTTTTTCAAGAATAAAGTTTACAAACATCATAAACAAAACAAGCTTCACTATTGAAAATAAAAAATAAATAATAAAAAAGATTGCAAAAGGTGCAAGTAATTAGGTTGACAAACTAACCTTTTCCTTTCTTGGATTATCTATACCTTCAGCCTTGAGCGAGAAACATTTATCAACTAAATCCAGGCGATTGGAAAATTGAACAAGATCTAACTTCAAATGACCTACTACTTCTCGCAAGAGAACATTATGACGTTTCTCCAACTTAGCCACTTGTTTGGCATGCTTTACTTGCATTTTTTTAAACTTCAATTGTTTTTTCAAAAGTTTCATTTTCCCAGAGTCAGCATTCAAATGCTTTTCAGGTGAAATAGCAGAAGCCTTGACCCTTTTTCTAGAGGACTGAAGGTCATATATCTGCTTCTGCAGTTCGTCAATCCTTCCTCTAGCTTCTTCTAACTGTTGGGAAAGCTTATCAGAACAACATTTTTCTTTCTCAACTCTTAGTCTAGTCTCTTCCAATTGCTGACACAAACTTTCAGCACGACATTTTTCTGCCTCAGCCTGATTCCAATTACCTTCTGCTAGCTTTCTTTGCTCCTCTGCTTTATTCCTCTCCGCATCTGCACGTTTTCTCTCTTTGGTTACCTTCTGTTTTTCAGCTTCAAGTTTTTTGTTTCCCTCTGCCAACTTTAATGTCACAGAATGTAATTTCGATTTTGCATCATCAACCTCTTTACCCATTGCCTCCAACTGAAGCCTATATTCATTACCCTTCTTTCCTTCAGTATTTGCAAGCTTCCTTTCTTCATCAGCCTTACCCTTTTCAGCTTTAACATATTTCCATGCTTCAACAGCTCTCTTCTTGTCTGCTTCAGCATTCTTCTTTTCTGAGTCTGCCCTTACTTTCTCTTTCTCAAGCAGCTCTTTGAGTCTATTTATTTCCTTTTCCCCGTCAGAAACACAAACTTGCAGGAGTTTCACATCCTCACTTTTATCTTCAGCATGCGATCTTCCTTTCTGCTGTAATATAGAGATTTCAGACTTCAAGGCAGATATCTCATTCTCCAATGAAACTCTTGCAGCCAATTCTTTCTCTCTTCCCTCTTTCTCAACTTCAGCACGTGCCTGCTCTTCTTCACATGCTGAGAATGTACAAAGTTAAAAATTAATTAAAAAAGAGTGCTTTCATTAAGCCATAGAAAAGAAAAACAAAGAGGGTATATTTGGGCAAAAGCTTCATTACATGATACTAGGCTAATTTCTAGAAACTCAACTTTCTTTTACCTCTGTGACCCAACTAATTTTTCCATTTACTATCACAATTACCAACTACTTTTGTACTTTCCATAAGTCACAATATTCAAAAAGCACCGTTTTCTATCTATCATCAGAATTTCTCACTTAAAACCATTGCATTTAACATCAAACATTAACAAAACCCTGCCTAGTGAAACTCTCCAAAAAAAAGTATAAATGAAATGCAGCATCAGGCTCATCCAAATCAGTTTAACATATGCTATAACAGTTATGTACCCAACAGCTCTGCAGTGAAAACTTGACACATACCCTTCACATTTATAAATTCTAGTATCAACATAACCTGAAATCCAATCAAAGATTTTCAACTACCGGCTCATACTTCATAACTGGATTGATGTTAAATATTACTAAAATCATATGTTATAAGCATGATAACAATGCCTATATTATGGAGAGACTACCAGCTTAATACAATACTAGATCCCACTTACCTTTCCTGAAAGAGAGATTTTCAGCTTGAACCTTATCAAGTTGTTGCTCAAAAAGCTTCAGAGCTTGGCGCAATGCGCTCCGCTTCTCTTGTAGCTGAGAGCACCTACTTCTCCACTGTAAAACATCATCTTCAATTAAAATTTGTTCACCAAAAAAAAAAAAAATAATAATAAATATGTGAGCAAAAACTCTGAAAGTCATACCAATTGACAGCAGGGATTCACCGGCGCTTGCTTTTCTGAACCATCCGCTGCCATTTCTACAAGTAGAAGAACTAACAAATGAATTAAAACTGAAAATAAAAAACCGAAGCCTCGTATGAGTATAAAGAAAGAGACTTACTTGATTGCAGTTAATCGTTGGTCATTGTAAAAACCCTAAACCCTAACTGTCTCTGTTCTGGACGAAGAGAGTAAGAAAGAAAACATGAGAGTTTAGTGTGTTGCAGAGTGCAGGGAAGAGAAACCCTAAGAGGGTATAGTTATCGGTTCGGGTCGGGTTGGATTCAAAGTCGGTCTAAAACCCGGGCCCTCAAAGTTGACACTCAGGCCCTTCAAATTAACGGGCTTTATAAAGACTAAAGAGTAAGGGTTTAAGGGATAAAATAGTCGAGACAAATAAATTAAAAAAAAAAAAATTGAAAATGTATTCTTTTATAAATTGGATGTTTTTGTTTTCTGTTTTTTAGTTAGTCAGAAAATGTGAAAACTAAAATGCGTTTGATATATTTATCTAAAAATTGTATTTGAAAACGTGAAAAATAAAAATATATTCAACATATTTATCTGAAAACATGAAGAAAAAAAAAAAAAATACGAAATTTATTACTGATAGAATTTGAGGTGGGTCTGACTCCTTACCCAATAAGGCCTTGTTGAATGGGAGGATTACCCCCTCTTATAAATCAGAAGGTTTGAGCGTGCCTAGTCGGTGTGAAATTCTAACACTCTCCCTCACGGTCAAGCCCATATGTTAGGTCATGTCTGTTAATGGAGGTAGTTGTTGGCTCTAACTCCTCACCTGTTGGTCAAACACTCAACTCAACTGAACTTGGGCTCTGAAACCATGATAGAATTTATGGTGGGCCTGACTCCTCACCCAATAAGGCCTTGTTGAATGGGAGGATTACCTCCTCTTATAAACCAGTAGGCTTGAGCGCGCCTAGTCGGTGTGGAACTCCAACACTCCCCCTCACGGTCAAGCCCATACGTTGGGTCATGCCTGTTGATAGAGATAGTTGCTGGCTCTAACTCCTCACCCGCTGGTCAAGCACTCAGCTCAACTAAACCTAGGCTCTGATATCATGATAGAATTTGAGGTGGACCTGACTCCTTACCCAATAAGGCATTGTTGAATGGGAGGATTACCTCCTCTTATAAATCAAAAGGCTTGAGCATGCCTAGTCTGTGTGGGACTCCAACAATTACCAAGAAATAAATAAAATATACGAAATTTATCACATACACAATCATTAAAACCATATAAAATCACTACTTATATTTATTCGTTTCAAAGATTTTATTTCAAATATGTCAATTGTTAGTTTCCGTTTGCACTTTTATGTTAGATAATTGATTTGAATAAATAAAATAAAAAAATTATTTTAAAGTGAAGAGAAAATATAAAAAGAGGAATAAATTTTGTATATAAAGGAGCCCACATCTTCTATTATATTCACTCTCCTTATGTTCAAATCTGAAATACAAGAATAGTAAATAAAATGCTTATTTTACTCATTTTTATGTTAGAAAAATGAAAATAAAACAGAAAAATGTAGACGAATAAGCCCTAAAAATCAATCCCAATTTCCCAATCAATTTCATATTCTGAAAGAGTTAATGAATTTTTCCCACCCAAATAATGACTTAATAACACTTTTCCACTCATAGAATTTTACAATATCACTTTACTACCCAAATTTATATTCCGGCGGCAAACAAAGAACAAACTCGATACAGGTTGTTAGGGCTTTTGAAGAAGGGAGGCCGTTAAGTCTTTTGATGATGAAAGTTTGGATTTTGGTGGCTGGGATTGATCAGAATCTGAGTTGGGAGGAGCGGCTAATCGTTTAATTGTCGGCGATTGACTAGGTCAATCAGAGTAGGGTTTGAGTGGTTTTGGTGAGTGATGATCAAGGAAAGAAAATGATAGTAGTGTGGGATTATAATAATGCCGAAATCAGAAATTGAATATAAATTTGAGTAGTAAAGTGGTATTTTAAAGTCTACGAGTGTGAAAATGTCGTTAAGTCACTATTTGGGTGGAAAAGGTGGTTTACTCTATTATGAAATCCCCAAATTAGATTTTATGTTTTCTTGATAAGCATAGTGTTGGTCCAATTTGATTTGTGGCGAATGAAGAGAGTTTGATAAAGCATTGAAATATTATGTTGGATATTATCAATTTAAGTATAATTTGTTAAAAAAAAAATTATTGAAAAAGTATAAATTATTAATCAGTAGTTAGCAGTTACTCAATATTAGATTTAACAGGTACACACCCCTTGAGGTACATAGTAGATTATGTTGTATGTGTATGAATACTTACATTTTGCTCTTATTGTGAGATGGTTATTGTTAATATTGTTGGTTGAATTGATGTATTGTTTGGTTGAGTGATTGCCTTGAAAATTATGAAGACTTGGCGAAATTTGTGTTACAGGCTTCGTCGGGACGAAGAAGAAGCTTCGTCGTGGCGAGGAGGTGTGCAGCCCACGCACCTCCTCGCCACGGCGAAGCTGCTGGAGTGTTTCGTCGCGGCGACGGAATTGTCTTCGCCGCTGCGACGGACGGCCAAAAAGTTATTGAGTTTTAGATTTCTCCTTTGCGGCACAATGACCATTCTACCCTTAATTAGCAGGAAAAGTGGGGAGTGAAAGCAAGGAAATTTCATGGGAATATGTTAGCATGGGGGTGTGAGTGTCAAGATTGAAAGGACAAAGATGGAATTTTCAAGAAAGAGCCAGGGCAATATGGGAATGAATGATTATCTTTGAGCTAAAAAGGGGATAAACTTCATAAACCCTTCATTCATCCTTCTCCACCGCCTCTTTCATTCTCCATTCCCTTCAATTCTTCTTTCAAGCTTTCAAGGATTTTTTAGGGTTTTTAGTTGGGTTTTGCTAAAGAATCAACCTAAGGATCCTAAGGTAAGGATCCTTGCTTTAGATGTGAAGTTGTGCATGTATTGAGTATTGAAATCTCATGGTTTTATTGTTTAAAGGGTAGAGAAGAAACAAGTCTTGTAAAGAAAGGAAGTGCTAGTGGATCTCTCCTTTTCAAGGTAAGTAAATCCCAATCCAAGTTGATAATTGTGAAATCCCTTGGTAGAGGTTATTTATGCATGAAATATTGTGTTAGTGAGAACTGGGTTGAGATGAGTATTATTTTTGTGGTTGTTAAATACACTTCATGAGGAGTGTGATGTGTGAGGAGAATGTAGTTTGTGATGAAATTGGAGGAGATTGAGAAATATTTTTGGAAGTGTTATGTTATAGCAGGAATATTGCTTGGTGAGGGAGTTCTCTCATTTTGGATGGTTCAAGAGAGGGATAGACTTATAAATAAAGTGGAGTGTAGGTATGCACACTAGTTGTTTGATGAAATGCCTAAGAGAAGTGTGAGATGAGTTGTGACCCTTATTGTTGTAACATTGCATATTGGCATTCCTAAGTGCATTCTTGAACATGAGCCATCCATATGATTAATTGTACATTTGAGAATAGTGTGAGAAAGAGTAGAGAATTGTGTGACTAACTACTCTAAGCATTAAGCTACACTATGATACTAGTTTGAGAAAGACTAGAGAATTGTGTGAATGAGCTACTTCAAGAGTAGGAGAATGAGTAAAGCTATGAGAACGGGTTGGTGCTTGTGATCTCCATTCGATAGGTATGAGAACGGGTTGGTGCTATGTGATCTCCACCCGATAGCTATGAGAACGGGTTAATGCTTTGTGATCTCCACCATAGTAGAAACAGTAAGGGTTGGTACTTTGTGATCTCTACCCGAAAATCACGAAGAGTAGGTTGGTGGTGTGAACTCCACCAGCCGTGCCTCGGTAAGATGGGCCGTGATATAAAGCGGAAGTAAAAAGAGAGTTGTGTGAAGAGAAAATAAATGGATGAGAAAAAGAGTAAGGAAAGAATTAAGAGAAAAGTTACGAGGACAGTCGAGTAGAGGATTTACTACTGAGCATTGTTTTGTGCTCACCCGTTATTTCTTTTTGGTGCAGGTTCTAGGTGAGAACGCAGTTGGACGGGCGTTAGCAAGCGAGAAGTAATAGCTATAAGTCCCCTGTTTAATATCATTTGTACATGATACTTGTTTTGTATAAATAATGTTTATATGTAAAAAAGAGAAATTTTTGGGCCCATTTACTTCTATATTCTACATGATATTTTATGAATATCCAAGTATAAAGCAGTCATTACAAACAGGGTGTAAGGGTAAGTAAATAAATTAAAAATTATTTGGCAAATATTGAATTATTTAAAAATATGTACGATTTAAACAAAAAAGATTAAAAATAATTGACCAATTGTCAAAATCCATTTCCGGCTTCAATCTGTTCAAACTAGACCTGATAAAAGAGGGTCGTACCCGCAAGTGTAACGCCCAACATTGAGGTACATGATTTAAATATATTTTATAGCCTTTAGTTAATTTTTATTAAAGTTATTTTAAGAGAATATGAAGAAAATGCCTTAAACTTGCATTAAGGGTAAAATGGTCTTTTCACTCAAAATTAGTTGAAAAAGTTGAGAGTGAAAAGAGGTAGAATTTCATAAAGAATACATAAAAAATGAGGGCATTAGTGTAATTGACGGAGGGACAAGGATGGAATTTTCATAAAAGTGTGGGCAAAATGGGAAAGTGAGTTTATAAAATAATGATAAGGGTTTGTAACCCTATTTCCTTCATTCCACCGCCACACTACTCTCCCATTTTCTCAAATTTTCATTCAATCCTAAGGATTTTGAGGGCTTTTGAGTAATTTTTAATAAGGTTTTGATTCAAGACTTCAAAAGGTAAGAATTCATGCTCTTTATCTATGATTTATTTGTGTAAAGTGAGTTCTTATGAAGTTTATGCTTAGGGTTAGAAGAAGTTTTGAATCCAACAAGAGTAGAGAGCTTAGTAGAGAAGACTTAAGCATAAGGTAAGTAAATTACACTCAAAATCCAACTCAGGTTAAAGTTTAAGAATCAAGTGAGTAGAGATTTCTTTTTAAGTGCATATGTTATGGTTATTGAGAAATTGAGAGAGATTGATGATGAATTATGCTTGTTGTTGGATAATTTGAATTGAGAATTGTAAGTGATGGTTTGATAATGGGTTGAAATTGGAAGAATTGGGAAATTTTTGGGAGTGTGTTGCGTGTTAGGTATGGTGATGCTACAGAGAGATTTTCTCTCATTTTTGGATGGTTGAGAACAATA